AACCCTAATAAACTAAACTGCTATATCTCCAACACTCCCCTTTGAGTTAGGCGCAAAAATGTCAACTAAGTCAAGCTTGATAATAGAGTCCCGAAAAATGGATAGAGTGACAGGTTTGGTGAAAACATTTGCAATCTGATCACTAGTCCCCACAAACGATGAAGTGACAATATCACTGTTAACCTTTTCCCAAAGAAAGTGAATATTGATCTCTATATGCTTCGTCCTCTTATGAAATACAAAATCAGAAGCGAGCTGAATAGCAGATCAATTATCACAATATAAAGTAGATAAAGAAGTCACTGGAAGTCCCAACTCGCCAAGAATCGATCGTAGCCAAATAATCTCACATGTGTCAAGTGTCAGTGCCCGATACTCTGCCTCTACTGACGAACAAGAGACAACTGACTGTTTCTTGCTTTTCCAAGAGATAAGATGAGTCTCTCGAAAAGCACAGAAGCACGTAGTAGAACGACCGTCACATGCTTCTCCATAATCTGAATCTAAATAACATACTAGAGAACCAAACTCAGATCTTGATGCATAGAACAACCCAAGTCCAAGACAAGATTTGAGGTACCGAAGAATATGATAAACTGCATCAAGATGTGGCTGACGTGGTCTGTGCATGAACTGACTAACTCGACTAACAACTAATGAAATGTATGGCCTAGTGTTGGCTAGGTAGATAAGTCTACCTACCAACCACTGATAGACAGTCGGATCTCCCAACTCCTCACCTTCAGCAGTAAACTTCAGGTTTGAAATCATGGGTGATGATGCCGGTTTGCACCCCAGCATCCCAGTGTCTAAGAGAAGATCCAGAACATACTTTCTCTGAGAAAGAACAATACCTCTGCTGCTACGGGCAACCTCAATCCCAAGAAAGTATCGCAAAAATCCAAGGTCTTTCACATTAAAGTCCTTCCCAAGGTCTACCTTAACCTGCGCAATCCCAGAAACATCATCTCCAATAATAATAATATCATCAACATATACCAAAAAGATGACACACTGTTCGAAAGTATTCCGTCGAATAAAGCAGGTATGATCAGAATAACATCTGGTGAATCTTAAATGTACAACTACATCACTAAAGAGAGAGAACCAGACTCGTGGTGACTGTTTCAGTCCATAAAGAGACTTACACAGTTGACAAACTTTTCCAGTATACTCCCCCTCACCACAAAAGCCCGATGGTGCATCCATATAAATAATCTCGTCCAAATCACCGTGAAGAAATGCATTCTTCACATCCAACTGATGAAGAGGCCAAGAGTACTCCGCAGCCAGAGAAATAATCAGTCGAACAGTAGTCAATTTTGTCACGGGGGCAAAGGTAGTACCAAAATCACGATCTGGTACTTGAGTAAAGCTCTTCGTCACAAGCCTAGCCTTGTGATGATCAATAGTACCATCCGTAAAAAACTTCAGGGTGTAAACCCAGCGACAACTAACAGGCTTCACTCTTGAAGGTAAAGAGACAAGATTTCACGTGTGATTACGCTGAAGAGCATCCATCTCTGTTTGCTTGGCAAGAACCCACTAGGGCTCCCACATAGCCTCTGAAACAGAGCGAGGAACTGGCGTATCTGATAAGGTTATACTATAAGCTCGAAATGTAGGAGACAGATCATCATAAAAAATATAAGCAAAGATCAGATATAAAACTCTGACGGTCCAACCATAACGAACAACTGGACGATGATCAAGCCGCGGATAACGACGTCCTAAATCATCATCCTCCACTGATAATGTCTCATTAGGTAACTCAACTGGCTCAGTATCTACAATCTCATCAGTACTAACAACAGGTGCATCAATATGCTCAACTAACTGAGAAGTATTACCTGCATCGCCTGTGATAGATGGGGTATCAGCAGGGGGATGAGAGTGAGGGCGACAAACATAAACCTGCAAAGGAAGTGAAACTGATGACTCTGTACTGACAGGGATGAGTGGCTCTGGAAGATGAGAGACCGATGACTCTGTAGTGATAGTGACTAATGGCTCTAGCTCTGGTGGTAATGAAAAATCAAATGGGAGTATCATTAACTGGAGGGGCAGACACAGGACTAAAAGAAAAATAAGGAATATGCTCGAGGAAGGTAACATCTAGACTGTGATACATACGTAGCCTGACAGGATCATAACACCGATACCCTTTAGACTGATGACAATAGCCCACAAAGACACAATAAATCGCTTTATCATCAAGCTTATGACGAGTAGGAGACCGATCCTAAACAAAACATGTGTAGCCAAAAATACAAGAAGGACCAAAAAAAGTGTTCGCTCAGGGAATAAGACCTGTAAGGGGGCCCTATGCTGAAGAACACGACTCGGTGTATGATTGCACAAAAATGTAGAAGTCAAAACAGTAAAATGTCAATAAAATTTTGGTACCCCCAAACCTCTAAGCATACAACGTACCATCCCTATCAGACTCCTATTTTTCCTTTCAGCAACTCCATTTTGCTCAGGAGTATATAGACAAGTGAGCTGCTAAAGGGTACTCTGAGAAGAAGGGTGAGACACTAAGGCATCAAACATATATTTTTTGGCATTATCCGAACGAAGAGCAAGAACAATGACATCGAACTGTGTTTTAATCATCTGAAGAAATTGAGTGATAACAGGAAGTACATCAGACTTCCTATGCAAAAGTCATTTATAAATGTCACATAATATCGGGCACCTGACAGAGCAGTAACAGAAGAGGGTCCCCAAATATCCGAGTGTATTAGGTCAAATAATTTGGGTGACTGGTGCATACGAGGAATATAACTGGTCTGAACATGTTTTGATAGGGAACATATAACACAGTCAAGTTTACCACTAATACAAACTTTGCTCAAAGCAAGAAATAACATACATAAATATTTAAAATTTGTATGACCGTACAACTGAACAGTTTGTCATGAAAAATCATAACGATAAGTATTAGGTAAAATACTAGCATGTAAGCTAGGAATAGATAAAGACAAAATAGGTGATAGAGGTGGAGGTGGAGGTGGAGAAACTAGTGAAACCGGAGGTGGATTGCCTAAATAATACAGTTCATCTCTCTCATGTCCCCTGATAATAATTCTCTTAGTACTCAGGTCCTGTAAATAACACAAATCAGATAAGAATACAACCGCACAATAAAAATCTCTGGCTAACTGATGTATAGATAATAGATTCATGGCCAACTTTGGCGCATGAAACACTGAACGTAACGTAAAGCCATCTGGGAGGCGAACTATACCCCTACTAACAATAGGGGCATGTGTACCATCTGCTAACTGAACTTGAGTATATAACTGCTCGTCAAAAGAGGTGAAATGATATGCCTCACCTGTCATATGACCATTAGCACCCGAGTCCAGCATCCAAAGAGGAGACAGAATAGCGTAAGTATTAAAGGCACGAGGTATACCAATAGTAGTCGAACCTTGAGAAGTCAAGGCTGACATAAGTATATCTAAGCGAAAAGTGATAGCACTAATATCACTCTGCCAAGGAGGAGGAGGAGCAGTAGTAGCAGGAGCAATGACTGTAGGTGGTGGTGTCTTAGCAATGGCAGCAGTACGGTTGCGAGGAGGCGGCTTAAGCTCCAGATGGAGCTTCCAACAAGTAGCTCTGAGATTTCCTAGTCGGTTACAATAATCACACTGATGAGAATCCTCATATCTACGCTGATGTAGGGTACCTTGACGGCGTTGGGCCAAGCGTTATTGACCCCTATACCCGGTGGAAGTACTAACAGATGTCTCAATGGTAGGGTTCTCAACTCCCTCAGTAGTAGTCATATCATCAACAATACAAGGGCACCCGTGACAAAAATAATTCTAAGATAAATAGAGTGATAAAATAAGTGAGAATAATATACTTTCAATCGAACAGTAGCGACAAATAAAGAAAGTTTAGAAAACTCGCAAATAATCAAGTCATGGTGCCCAAAAATCTAATAAAGATAAATAAGTGATTTACTGCATCAAAAGCAAATCACCGGAGAATCCACTCCCTCCCAAAAAAATCCTGGAACAAAGTCACAACAAAAATAGTGACCCAGCAGTGGGCTGGACAATGATCCAGCAGTAGGAGTGGTTTTATTAGGTTTATTGGGTTGGATCTATTATTATTATTATTATATGGAGAATGGGTAAAGGGCGCCTGACAGGCTATATATGGCCAGTCGGTTTGGTTTCAATGGGTATATGGTATTGGGTCTCGATGTATATGGTTATTTATGGGTTTCGGTGTATATGGTATTGTGTTTATGGGTTTCAGTGTATTTGGTATATGTTGTCGATGCTGGTTTGAAATTTCGGTGGCTGGGTTTCTTCTGGACTGGGCAGTCTGGTTTTTGGCAATTAATATAGGGCAGTCAGTGGAGAAATATGGGCAGTCGGTGCATGGGTTGCTGGTGGACAGTCGGTGTGCTGTCGCTTGTGGTCAGTCGGTGTTGTGTTGATCAGTCGGTGCTGTGTTGCTGATTTACAGGGTGTTATGATACCAAGATGTTGTGTTGCTGCTAATCGTCGATTGTCTTGATATTGACGGCTGCTAATCGTCGGTGAAGGATGATGAAGATTAGAGTTAGGGTTAAAGGTTAAGGTTAGACTCTGATACCAACTTGAAATAATCGTGAGTGAAAAGGGGATACAAACTAAGTGTAGAACCCCCATATATATAGTCAATGAAAATTACAATAAGGATAAAAAGGTAAAAAAGAGAAAACTTAATAAACCCTAATAAACTAAGCTATTATATCTCCAACAAGAACTCAGACAGAGGTGGTGCATGGTTGTCATCATCTTGTGTTGTATGATGTTGGGGTAAGCCCTGCAATAAGTGCAACCCCATCATCAGCCTATGTCTTTAGGTGCTGGGTTAAATCCCACAAGAAACAGAACCCTCATATTTTGTTGTCACAACAAGCGGTTATCCACTAGCCAAATGTGCACCTGCATTGAGAATTGAATCCACATTTGACCTAAAGCAAATCCCAGTCATCAAATGAGCGCATTTATCAATGAATTGAACGATGCATTCATCAATGAAAAGCCTGCGGAAGCATTCTTTTTGCCCAGAGCACTCAGCTTGCTATGAAGGATGAGGTTCACCTTTGACTCACTGCAGATTTGTGTAGCTAAGCAATAGTATGTAGTGAAATTAACTTCCATCCAAACAAAAAGGGTAGTGAAATTAACTTACCAATCAAGTCTGTCATATTGTCCGCAACACTTTTAGGGATTAATCAGGCAGAATAATCACCCTGTATTCCCTGCAAAACATGTACCATGGTTGGTTACTAGAAACCACTAACTTATCACAGGGTAGCTGCTACATGTTTAGCCATGCAAGTCTGCTACCCATTGAACCATCTGGCACCTAAACTTGGATCCCAAAAGGCAAACGAAATTAGAGAGGCAAATTCATATGGATCTTGTGTAAATCTGACAATCAAAATATAAGAATTTGCAAGGCATTGTAACACCAGATTGACTTGCAAATAGAAACAAATGTCTAGAGACAATGTTTCACATCAAGTGCCCAAGAAGAATCCCATAGAAAACAGGTTGATCGACTTCTGAATCCACTCCAGATCAAATACATACTTATGCTAGAAGGAAATACAAGTACAACTGCATATAATTCAAATCACAGTTACATCTTCTTCAGGGGAAAATTTAAATACTGTTACATGTTTCTTCGAATACTGTGATATCAACTCAGAAGCTTTTGGTAGAGAATAATGATTGGATGTTCTATTAAGAAGCTCTGTCGAAAGAACTCAACCGTTTGATTATAGATACATATACCTTAATTCCCTCCAAGTACACTGTATCCTTGAGGAACTGCAAGAAAGCAAAGAATAATCATCAGGGGAAGCATGTGTAACAGTAAGATATTTCCCAACAAACTGGAAACTTTGCCGGACCTCATTATGGTCATGAAGTAAGATGGGAGTGTTCTTCATTGGGGAGAAACCAAGAGTGGGAATACCCAGCTGTCTCATAAATCGAGCATCAGTAGTTGAAGGCAATATTTCAGGCTTTGCAAGTTTTCCACCAGCTGCTGTGATGGCTTCCTGGAAAACTGACCACCATGGGTTGGAATCATTAGTGGCTGTCATTAAATGGCATCCCATATAATCTCTTACTGGTCCTTTTTCAGTTATCTGCCATAGCATAAACAGAGGTTAGCCAACTTGCGGTCACACACAATTTGGTTGCCAAATGGCAAACTGAAAATTTAGAATCTCCTGTACTCTGATAGAGCTTGAAATTAACCCATTCTTCCCCTTCAACCACCCTCACCCCAGTGACTCGCCAGTGACCCCTTTCTCTATGTGGTGCATTTTCATTGGCGGTTTGTGTGGTTGGGGTCCTCAAAACAACAGAGTGGCTCAAACCATATTTAGACGTCCACTAGAGATCAGAAGTTCAAGAAAAATTGATATCTTTCTTATGTCCCTTCCATAACCAATAAAACTCTACTAGTTTTTACCGACAAGTGCCAATAAAACCCCATCAGGTCAACATCAATCTAAATAAATAGGCAATCTACACCTATCAGCATGGTAAATTGAGAGTTACGACGTAAATTGGCATAGGGGTTCCCTTTAAATATTCTAAAATGCTTATTTGACCAGCAAAACAAGTAGTTAAAACTTAAAACCATGCCACAAAGATCACCAACCAAACTGATTTTTTGGCGCTCCTAACTTATAGATGAAATGCATTAGGTGAAGGTCCAACATCTTTTGTTGCCAAGACCACAGGGTTTTGTCTGTCACTTGACCAAACTCGGAAGGAGCCAAAACCTAAAACAAAAACTTCAGTCACCATTAGGTGTGTTTGAGGACTTGATAGGTGATACATTCCATTCCATGGGTTAAATGGTGAAGTGTTGAACCCAATCAAAATATTTACTTCAACTCCAAAACTTCAATATTCCACTACTAACAATATATTTATTGTTTTCTGAACAGCAAAGCAATAAATGTTAAAAAAGCCAGATAGGTAGCGTTTATTAAGAAACACCACAAAAATATGAAGAGCCTTCAATAAATGACACCAAAACATAATGAGCTATAGCACAAGTCTAAACTATATAGGCACCAAAAAAAGACCTAGGATCCATCAACAATCAAATCAATTAATGTGTCACGATTTATCTAATCGAACTCATCATCCAAGATTTTGCCAGCAAGAACACTATATAACTGCTTTCCTCCTTGGATCATAAATAACCTATATCTAGATTATTCTAGAGAATAGTTTGATTTCAATAAAAGTAAAATTTAAAAGGGCTTATCCCAAATTCTTGAGCATCCATGCTATCACAGCGATAGATTAGGTAACAGTGCTTAATAAGAACAACTAGAAAATTAAAAATAAATAGTTTCTTTCGCATTGATGATTTTTGTACTAGGAAGCACAGTTACAGACACGGAGATAAAGTACAAAAATATAGGATACGGGTACGGAAAAGATACCGCTAATTAAAATAATATAATATATTTTTTAGATAAAAATATAATTATAATATATTAAAAACAAAGCATAATTTATAACGATATTAATAATAGCACCTAACAAATATTTATTTTTTGATTAAAATTGAAGTAGATCAAAATAAGTATCCATCATTTTCATCAAACATCCGTTAACATTCATAGTATATAAGTTATACAACAATAAACACAAAAAAAATAAAGAAATCACACTCATCTTAATAAATAACAATCATTTTTTTAAATAAAAAAAACCATGGTCGTGTCCTAACCATATCCTAGTTATATCATCACCTGTTCAACTGAGTTCACTATTTATAACACTTCTAGTCATGTCAAACGCATATCCAATCGTGTTCGACGTGTGTTTGTTTCGGAGACGTGTCCGACACTACCATGCATTCCTCGAGAAGTATCTGTACTTCCTAACTTTTGTAAAGAACAATCTAGTTACTTTTTCAGCATCAATTTTACAAATTCTGAAGGATAAATTACATACAAACCCTTGAGGTTTGCCATTTAATCATATAGGCCCCCTCACGTTTGAAAAATTACACTACCACCCCTTATCATTAACATAGAACAAACGAACCTACCAGAAACTATGAAATGACCATTTTAGCCTTTGATAAAAAATAAAAAATATATCTATCAGCTCAAACCCAAATATCTTGTCAAATTTATACCCAAACCTAGTTTCCAAATCTTAACCCAAACCCGAATCACAAATTATAACCTCCATCGTGCTCTCTTTACACCATCGCTATTCGTCACCATCCTCCTCCTTTCAATTAGTTTTCTCCATCAATAGCACCACCGCTGGCTACCACCACAAGAACCTAGATGGAAGAGAAACCCAATGATCATCAATCAAAGCCCCAAAGATCCGAGAACTTTAGGTTCAAAAAGCCCAAAGGTTCTACAAATTTGAACCCAAAAACTCAGGTAATTACATGTTTTTTGAGTGTGCAAGAGAGAGTTGATTCAATGGAGGTGGGTGGCTTTTCAATGTGGAAGTTTCAAATGGATGGGTTGGAGGTGTTGCGCGTGGTGGGCTTGCAATAGGTAACAATGGGTGACATTGGCAATGAGTTATGATTTTTTTGGGTTGGTGGCAGTTGTAGTATTGTGTTGATCCTGTTGTCTCTCTCTAGGTTCGTAGCGGATGGTTATGGGGTAGTGGTGGCAATCAATTGTGAATTTTGGGAGTTGGTAGTGGTGTGGTTGATTGCCCTCTCTTTCTTTGTCTCTCTTCATCCCTACAATTACTTGGATTTTCTTTGGGAAGCAAAATTTGATACATTAATTGGGATTGATGTTATGGTATGTATGTGCCATCTCATGTGGTGAAATGAATGGATTTCTAGATGCTTGGGAAGAATCTTGAAATTCTTGTTTTTATAAAGGTGTGGTAAGGAACCATTGCTTGTAAATAACCCACTAAGATTGTGATTTACTTTGTTAATTTGTTTTTGCTATATAATTTAACTTTCCAAAGGCAAAATAACCATTGTGCCTATTGTTTGTTACTTTGTTAATTTGTTATTAAGATTGTGATTTACTTTGTTAGTCTATTGTTTTAGCTAACAATAGAATAGTCTATTGTTTTAGCTAACAATAGTCTATTGTGGTTTTGTGCTTGAACTATTGTGTGTTTTAGAGGCTTGTTAGTGCGACGGGATGGAGGAAATAGTGGCAAGTAATGGTGATGAGGTGGGTCTGGTATGTTTGGGCTCTGGACAAGTAAGGGCACTTTGGGATTATTTTTGCCTACTTATAATAACCTATGAAGCACAGACACTTTCAAGACGGTAGCGTATTCGTGTCAAACACCGATACTCCTCGAACACGTGCAAGACACTCTTTTATCCGTGTCCATTATTAAATAAAAATATTTTAATTCAGACACGTGTCTGACACTTCTTTGGTGACATGTCTGACACTTCTTTAAACCGTGTCTACGACTAAACAATAAACATGTGTTGACATGTGATTAATAAAGCTTAAAATTTGACTAATAAGTATCTTATACTATGAGAGAACATACAATTATCAAAACTAAATATGTTAAAGTTGTACTCAAAATATAATAATACAATTAAAAGATAAATTAAAAGATTTAGAATAAAATTAATTGAGAATATGAGAACAATCATTTAAATTATATGTAGTTTACGTCTATAAAAAAATTGATGATTATTGACTAATATGAAGTCTAAAAATTCACACTAGATGACTAAACATAACATTTACGATCATAAAGTACTGATTTTTTTATGAATAATCTATCATTATCACTATAGTTATGATAAATTATAGAGCAAACTTCATTTTACCCTTTTGTGATTTACCCCAGTTGCACATACCGTCCCTAGTGTCTAAAAATAACATATAACCTCCCTAGGGTCTAAAAATAACACATTACCTCCTTGTGATTTGTGGACCAAGATGTATAGTTACATTTTCTTTCTAATTTAATGGTGCGTATGATGGAAGCTCCTGTAGTGAGCATTGATATGAAATATTCATTTTAAAATGATAGAATTGCCCTCAATCCAATTGAAACTTTGATTTTCATCTCTTTCACCTCTCTCCCTTTCTTCTCTCTCTTGTTAACAACACTGATTACTCACCTTCTTATCAACAACCACAATTATCCACTTCCCAATCAACAATGGCGACAACCCATAGCTGTTAGAGTATTTATATTATGGGTAGTTTAGGTAATTTACATTATTTTGGTTGCCCTAATATATAAGGGTCTACATTGTGTATTTGAGTTATGCGTTTGTAATACAGATTGATGACTGTCAATAAACATATTTTTCCTCTTTCATTAACATGGTATCAGAGCTAGGATCCCTAAACCTAAATAATAATTCTTGATTGAAATCTGGAAATAGAACTGGTGAACCCGATGTCCAGACCTGGTGAACCCGACATGAAACAGCCATTGATGTCATCATCGCCGGCGATAACGTCATCAGTCTCCGACCGTGGATCCTACCATCATGATCGACTTCTCATGAGCTTCTCTCTGGTGTGCTTCTCTTCTTGGTTTGAGTTCACCTAGTAAAGGTTACTAGTTTTTAAATATTTTTGGGAAAAAAATGTATAGATTTTTCGATTGACTATACCTGGAACTGTCAGACAAAATTTTTTTTGGTTCTAATCAGCCAAGAGGTGCGACTAAGGTAGTTTAGCTAATTTGGGATGAGATTCGTGTGTTTTGGGCTGATCTTAGTTGATTTGGGATGAGATTTGTGTGATTTGGGACTGGTCGGTGGTTTGCCTTGGCTGTTATCATCTTTCATAGTACACCGACTGTTCGGTGTGGTCTGATTTCTGAGCTTGGGCTCATCTGGTTTCTTGCTCCTCTGACTTCTTGGCTTTGGTTGTGCATCGGCTGTTTTGGTTGCTCTACTCTGCTTGACTGCTTTGTGATTGATATTCTGTGGTTAGATTTGAGAATAGTTCTATTGTTACTTTCTACTTTATTTTGGGTATTATTTTGTTGAGAGGATCGACTCTTTGTTCACATTATGACAAGTGGACATTCTGATTCACTTTAGGCTATTAGTGTCAGATTAAATGGTGACAATTATGTATAGTGGTCTTATGTTATCAAGAATTTCTTATTGGGGAAAGAGATGTGGAGTTATGTTAGTGGTACTTTGCAAGCTCCAACAGATTCGAAGGAAGAGAGATATGCTGACTTAAAGAATACGTGAGAAGTCAAAAATGCTAAAATCATTACTTAGACTAACAACTCAATTGATTAGACTATTGGTGTGCATTTGGCTAAGTTTAACACGGCCAAGGAGATTTGGGATTATTTAGCTACATTGTTTGTTCAGTCCAATTTTGTAAAGAGATATCAGCTTGAGCATGAAATTCAATTTGCACGTCAGGGTGATAAGACCATACAAGAGTTCTACTCAATTATCACTGGATTTTGGGATCAATTAGCACTTGCTGAAACTGCTGAATTGAGTACACATATGGTGTATCGTACTTTTAGGGAGGAGCAGCGGTTGGTACAGTTTTTTATGGCCCTTAGAAATGATTTCGAGGGCCTTCGTGGTTCTATTCTCCATCATCTCTCACTTCCCACAATTGATGCATTAGTGAATGAGCTTTTGGCTAAAGAAGTTCGTCTTAAGGCTCTTTCAAGGAAAAGGTCTTCTTTCATTGCCTAATCAGACTGTATTGGTTGTACCACCCAAAGGGACTTCTCATTCATAGACTAAATATCGGGATCGAGTTGCTTCAGATGAGTGTAGTTTTTGTTGCGAGAAAAGTCACTGGAAGGCTCAATGTCCTAATTGGTGAACAGGAATGCCAAGGGGACCGTACAACAGACATTTAAGCCCAAAGATCGTCATACAACTGCAGTTGCTTCACCAGTGGATGAGACACTCTCATCAGCTCCCAGAATAACTATGATAGCTGATCAGTTGCAGAAGCTCCTTTTCTTTCATCAACCAGGTGCCCTATCAGTTTCTCCTTCCAGGTTCATTTACTATGGGTCCTTCAAGTATATCTCGAACTGTCTGGGTCTTTGACTCAGGAGTCACCCATCATATAACTAGCAATTCTTCCTTATTTATTTCTATTGTTTCCCCTCCCTCTATATCTGTCCTTGCAGCCAATGGCACCCAAATGTCCTTGGCTGGTGTTGGAACTATTGTATCTTCTCGGCTTACACTTCCTGATGTCTACTATATTCCTCAACTTACTTTAAATTTAATATCTGTTAGTCAGTTGTTTGATTTGGGATTCTTAGTTCACTTTTCTTCTACTGGTTGTGTTGTGTAAGATTCACGGTCCAAGAAGCTGATTGGGACAAGCTATAGAAATGGAAGGTTATATGTGTTGGACGAACTTCATGTCCCTAAAGTTGTTGCATCTACTGTTGATTTATCTTCTTTTTAATTGAGTCCAAAGTCATCTAGTTTTTATTTAAAGCATTCTCGTTTAGGTCATGTTTCTCATTCTCATTTAAAATTTCTAGTTTCAACCGGTACTTTGGGTAGTTTAGAGTGCCATGATATTTCAGATTGTAGTGGTTGTAAATTGACAAAATTTACTGCATTACCTTTTAATAAAAGTAATTCTCGTTCTCTTGCACCTTTTGATCTTGTGCATTCTGACATTTGGGGACCAGCTCCTATTACTACTAAAGGAGGGTCTAAATATTATATCTCCTTTATTGATGATCATACCAAATATTGTCAGGTGTATCTAATGACAGGTAGGTCTGAGTTCTTTTTTATTTTCACTACCTTTCATGCTATGGTACATACTCAATATTCTTCTATCAACAAATATTTTCGCTATGATCAAGGTGGAGAATATTTTTTTAGTACTTTTCGTGATTTGTTGAAATCTGATGGTACTATTTTGCAGTCTTCTTGTACTGACACACCTGCTCATAATGGTGTGGCTGAACGAAAACATTGTCACATTATTGAGACAGCTCGTTCTCTGTTGTTGTCATCCAGTGTCCCTAACTCTTTTTGGGGAGAAGCAGTGCTTACAGCAGTTTATCTGATTAATTGCATTCCTACAATCCTTAATTTTTGGTGTCTCACCCTTTGAAAAATTATGTGGTAAGACACCTGATTATTTCTCCTTACGTGTGTTTGGATGTACATGTTTTGTTCTGCTACCTAGTGTTCATCGTAACAAACTCTCAGCTCAATCAGCCTTATATGTTTTTCTTAGCTATGGTGAAGGACAAAAGGGATTTCGATGTTATGATCCTAGTACACAAAAACTCTATGTTTCTCGTCATATTATTTTTATGGAGCATATTCCTGTTTTCTCTATTCCATCTAGTTCTTCATCTCTGCATAAATCTGATCTTATTTATCTTGATCTCTTTCCTCCTAATGTTTCTCCTGATTCCTATGTTGGTGATATGACTGTGGCTGATCTTCCCACATCTTCTTCTTCTTCCCCTTTGCCTGATTTATCTGTTACCTGTCCCCCAATTGTGCATACTTATGTTCGCTGGACTTCCACTCTCTCCTCCACAAATGTTGTGTCTTCCTCTACACCTCTTGGCTCCCAATCAATTTCTGACACCGTGGATCACATTCTCCATTACCCTCAGCGCACTCGGAAGTGTCCTGACAGGTTTGGTTGGTCCAATTCTTGTTATTCTTCTGATTTTTGTTCTTTCTTGACTTCTATACATTCTCTGTCTGAATCAACCTCCTATAAGGAGGCTATACTTGATCCTCTTTAGCAACAGGCTATGGATAAGGAGCTTGCTGCGCTACATAAGACTCAAGCTTGGGAGTTGGTGTATTTACGTCCTGGTAAACGCCCCATTGGTTGTAAGTGGGTTTATAAAATCAAAATCCAATCTGATGGTTTTGTGGAAAGGTACAAGATTGGATTAGTGGCCAAGGAATTTGCTGAGTATGGACTTGACTATGATGAGACCTTTGCTCCAGTGGCTAAGATGACCACAATTCGCACAATAATAGCTGTGGTAGCTGTTCGTCAATGGAGCCTATCTCAGATGGATGTGAAAAATATTTTTCTTCATGGTGATTTATCTGAAGAGGTCTATATGATTCCTCCTCCTGGGTTACCTTGTAGTCTTGGTCATGTGTGCACACTTCACAAGGTTTTATATGGTCTTAAACAGGCCCCGAGGGAATGGTTTGAAAAATTTTCTTCAGTTATTTGTGACTTGGGCTTCTATGCTAGCGATCATGATTCTGCTCTATTCCTTTGATCCACTTCTTCTGGTTTCGTTCATCTGTTACTTTATGTGGATGACATGATTATTACAGGTGATGACATTGCTGGAATTCAGTTGTTGAAAACTCAGCTACTGGATTATTTTGAGATGAAAAATTTGGATCCACTTCGATATTTCTTAGAGATTGAGGTTACTTCCTCTCCCAAGGGTTATCTTCTTTCTCAGTCAAAATATACCTCAGATGTTATTCAGCGAGCTTGCTTATGGGATACTCGAACAGTTGACACACCCTTGGAGCTCAACGTTCGTTATACTTCCTCTGATAGTTCTTTCCTGCCAAATCCTACTTTATATCGTACTATTGTTGGGAGTTTGGTGTATCTTACTGTTACTCGTCCAGATATTGCTTATGCGGTTCATGTGGTTAGTCAGTTTGTTGCTGCTCCTACCACACTTCACTGGTTTGTTGTTCTTCGGATTCTTTGATATTTACGGGGTACGTTACATCAGAGTTTATTATTTTCTTCTTTTTCGCCTCTGGAGCTTCATGCTTACTCTGATGCGGACTAGGCTGGTAACTCTAGATATTGCAAATCCACCACTGATTGTTGTCTTTTTCTTGGTGATTCTCTTATTTCTTGAAAAAGCAAGAAACAAACTGTTGTCGCTTGCTCTTCTGCTGAAGCTGAGTATCGTGCTATAGCATCTACCACAGCAGAGATAGTTTGGTTGCATTGGTTGCTTGCTGATCTTTGCATTTCCTTGACTACTCCTACTCCTATGTATTGTGATAACACTAGTGCTATACAGATTGGTCACAAGTCAGTGTTTCATGAGCGCACCAAACATATAGAAATTGATTGTCACTTTGTGCACCATCATCTTCAGTTGGGCACAATCTCTCTCCCATATCTTACTTCTACTATGCAGTTGACAGATTTCTTCGTCAAATCCCACACTATCGCATCCTTTCGTTTTCTCCTTGGCAAACTCTTGATGTTTGATGCTACCACATCATGAGTTTGAGGGGGATGTTAAAGTATTTATATTATTGGTAGTTTACATTATTTTGGTTGCCCTAATCTATAAGGGCCTACATTGTGTATTTGAGTTTTGCGTCTGTAATACAGATTGATGACTGTCAATAAACATATTTTTCCTCTTTCATTAACAACAGCGACCCACCTCCTCTAACAACCAACAGTTGTGGCCACCAATGACCACTCATCTCCTCTTTTCAATCACAACTGTAGCCACTCACCATGACCAACAACCCATCCCATCTACCCAATAAGAATCAAGAAACCATATCTCAAATAGATATTACCAAATGCTGGGAAAGTAATACTATCATGTGCTTTCAAGAACAACCCAGAGATAGAAAAAACATAATAGAACAATAATTGAAAATGTCAAAAAGGAGAAACTAACCCCTAAATGTAGGTAATCATGTAGAAAGTTTTCATCAGTAGATGCTTTTCTTGAGGAAAGTTTTCGTCAATGGTATTAGGTCCAGTTTTTCATCCCTTGTGGTTCCATTCTTTTATTTGGTTTCATTTGGATTTTCATTAGCGATTTTGGTTCGATTGTAATTTCGGTTCAATCTTGATTTAATTTTTAGCCGATTTGATTTAAAATAGTGGGACATTTGTGGTAGTTGTTGTGTTTGCCTCAGAGTAGGAGGAAGGGAAGATAGAGATTCAATTTGTGTTTGGTTGCAGAAGATATGGCTACCATTGAAGAAGACGATGAAGGAAAGGTATTAAGGTAATTTTTTTTTTTTTTTTTGTTAATAGAGTTAGTCGTGCATCTTGATCTACAAATCACAAGGGGGTCATGTGTTATTTTTAGGCCCCTGGGAGGTTATGTGCAATTGGTATAAACCACAAGGGGGTAAAACGAAGTTTGTCCAATAAATTATATTATTTTAGATATAAAACACAATTATATGTAGTGTGTTCCCAACGTGCACCTATGTCCCAGTCCCGTGTCTGTATCTGTATCCAGATAATGACATCATGAAATCCTAATGGCTATACTAGCAGACACAAACGACAGGGTCTAGGAGTTACATGCACACAAATCTAGGTGGGTCTCAATGTAACTTTTCAAATGTGAGAACGTCTATATAATTAAATGACAAGCCTCAAGGTGTCTTGATATAATTTACCCAATTCTAAAAGTAGAGTTGGATAAGAAGGAAACCATAAAGGGGGTCTCAAGGATAAAGAGAACTTAAGCGACTCAAATCTTTATCATAGCTCCCTCAAAGATATTAATAACATCCTAAATGAACAGTTTACAGGGCACAAAGGAGAAGGAATGGCTACTCTTGCTTATGATAATCTCAAGAATATTTACTGTGTCATGGAGGCCAAAACATTTTTACACTTCTTCAATATTTATAAATACACTGCTACTACTTTCTCAACTGCTATAATCTTTAATTGCACCGAACAAGATTTCTCATCCACATAAACCAGGGCGGGTATATATGAACTCGTTTTTAACCAAGTACCATTTGGAGCAATTTTTTACCAAATCATATGTGTAATAGTGGGACTTGATATCCAACAGTATCAATTGATCTACACCTCAAGATTTTTCACAAGTTCAGGTGAATGAACAAAATTTTCTAGTGGTATGGTCTCTACATCAAAACTTCAATTCTGAATTGGCTGGTGAAATTATCACCCTAAGTCCCAAATTGCGGATATCATGTCGGTAAATGATACAACCGTTCTTTGAACTAATGAGTGATGTGAATAACAATCCTTCATTTCAACTCCAAATGATTCACTTATCAGGAATTAGGGTGTCCCTCTCTATTTCCAAAAATGAATAAATTTATATAATAAAATAGTTTACAATTCAAATTTCAAAAGATAAACAAAATGACTTTTGTTATTCGCGGTTGAGATTACTTTAAATTTTACTTTAAAGTTAATCTAACGGCTAATATTAACACCCTAAATATAATAGGAAAAATAGACCACTAAGGGTGTTTAGAATAACTTTTTAAAAGTACTTCTAGAAATTACATCTCATAAATAATTTTAAAAAAAAATAGTATTTGAAACCACCTCACCACCGTCACTACCGTTGCTGCCACCACCATCGCTGTTGCCACCACCATTGCCGCCGCCACCGCCACCATCGTCGCCGCCGCCACGGTCTCCTATCACTAGCACTACCGTCCACTACCTGTCACCCCCACTATAAATACAAATATATTTATTATTTATTTTTTTTTATTCCTCTGTGTCTTGAGACACAGACAATAACTAGTTGATTAATAAAAAAGTCTGTTAAAAAGAACATCATTATTGCCACAAAGAAAAGCCATTACATTATCCTATGTAAATCGTCTCGCCGATGCAACTTTTTGCAGGAAATCGAAGCACCCCATTATTGTATATTCTCAATCAAACAAAATTAGGAAGGTAATGGAATCAAACAAAATTAGGAAGGCAATGGCAATAATATACCTCATATGTCATATTCCTCGTAGCCGGTGCCCATTCCTCTGCAATTATTTTCTTCAAATGATCTGGGTCCACAGTGGGTGGCAACCGAATATCAAACCCAGCTTCCGCCTCAGATGGTTGCATGTTCATCACAAATCCCTACAAGATTAGTCATAACTCCAGTCATTGAGACATACTAACTTCAAGAAAAGAAGTTCCAACATTGACCAACAAACAACTAAGATCAAATTCAATGCAAGCAAAACCACAGAATAAATTTCAATGCCACAATACACTAAAATAGCTTGAAAACGCACAGTTGGGGAAGGAATTCCAGCTTTCAGATACACAGGATTTACGGAAATTACTTCTGAAGTGGCAGCCCATCCAGCCTTAACAATATCAAACTGGTTCTCCCTAAACTTGGTCATAACCTCAATGCTCTTCATCAAATTCTCCATTGCACTATTATCATACAACCTCGATCCATGGCCCGGTGTTCCCCGAGCTCTAATAACCATATGCCAAGGCAATCTATCAGCATAAATAACCCTGAATTCATCACTAGTCGAAGCCTGCCCTTCATCCAACACAAACCCAACATTCAATTCCTTAAACTCTTTGGATTCCACAAACTTAGCCATCCCATCAAACCCACCTATCTCCTCATCGGGAACAAAAGACATGTGCACTGTTCTCAGAGGCACAAACGCAAACACATTATGGAGTTCTTTAATGGCCTCCAAACACTGTACAACGATGCACTTGTCATCTTGGGCACCACGGGCGAAGATTTTACCGTCGGCGGAGAGATGGGCAGAGAAGGGGTGGTGGACCCACTTGGAGGGCTCGGCGGGGACGGAGTCGAGGTGGGAGTTGAGGAGAATGGAGGAGAGAGAAGGGTTGGAGCCAGGCCAGGTGAGGAGGAGGAGGGGCTTGTTTGGGGCGAAATAGAGCGTCTGGATTTTGAGGGTGGGTATAGTTTGGGCTATATTGGTGAGGAAGGAGACGGCGGAGCCGTAGTCTGGGTTGGGGTGGGCTGTGTTGATTCTGAGGTATTGTTGGAAGCGTGTTATGGGTGTGTTTTGCTCTTCTTCTTGTTCCTGATTTGTTGGTGAGATCGAGAGGAGAGAGAGTAAGAGGAGGAGTGTGAGAGTTGGTAGGAGTGAGTGGTGGTGGTGATGTTTCGACATGCCTGAACGAACTGAGACTGAGACACCGATGGCATGACCGGAGAAGACTATGTTACCAGCATCGTGCCGGAAAACTTAAGGATTGTAAGGATTAATTACACTTTGCCCGTCAAACAATGAGATTTGTGTTACTTTGTTCCCTCAACTATTATATTTCTCATACTATACCTTAAATTTTGATTATTAGTTTTATATTGTCCCAACAATTAGCGTCCCATAAAAATTTGACTGCAAATTATATCAATTTGTACCCCAAAAGTAACATACATATGCGTTTTGGACAATGTAAAACTAATTTTGATAGTTTAGGTGATAATATTAGAAATTTAATATTTGAAGGAAAAAATTATATAAAAATTATAGTTTGGGGAGACCAAGTATAATTTGTTTTATTTTATTTTATTTTTTTGCGCATGGCTAATGTAGGTATAAACTTTATTTATTTGCACATGGCGTATGTAGCACAAACTTCATTTTTTTTTTGGTTAGGTACAGACTTCATACTCACCATTAAACAATTAAATAAAGATAAAAAATACATGGACTTGAATGTGATGTTCAAGAAAAAAAAAATTAGTATCCTAGTTCTAAAATTTATTATTTTAATAAATTTTTTTATAAATTTTTTTAAATATTTATATAAATAAAAAATTTATCACTTTTATAAGTGATTTATCATATTTTTATCACTATTGTGTTTATCATTATTGTGGTAATAATTTTTATCATTTTTTTTGATATAAAAAAATTATCACTTTCATAGGTAATTTATCACATTTATAAGTATTTTTACTATTATTATAGATGTTTGTATATCTATTGTGATAATTATAATAATACACCGATAAACATAATAAAAATTAATATTATATCAAAAAATTATTTTTCGGTAACGTAGACAACTCCAAAAATACAAAAACAATTAGAAGTTAGGGAAAGATGGTTGGTAAATCACGTCTTTTTGAATTATGTGTTTAGGTTTAAAATTGGCTTTCAACTTACCATCATCAATCAATCTCTTTTGATCAGAGTTAAGAATAATCGATGCAAGTGTAAACTCTCCGTAACAAAAAATTAACCTCTTTTGTTTAGTTTATTTTCTAGTTAAAACAAACGAAAAATTACACATAATCGTTAGGTGTTCTTAACAAGGACATTTTAAAATGTTGAATAAATTTTTATTCATTGACTTCACATAATTGAAATAATGTTATCAAGTTAAGTCAGTGACGGATCTACATTGGGACAGCTGCCTACACTAGAATTTTAAAAAATTTTAGGGAGTAAGTATAATTTGAAAGTTTTTACATTTATTAGAGATTTGCCCCCACTAAATTTTTTTTTTAAAATTTATAAGTAGTTATGATATTTTGAAAAATATATGGGTCATTTATAAATGTTAAAAAAAAAAATTTAAAAGGCTAAATGCCTCCATTATATGTTAGATTAAATTATTTTGATGATGTTTTGAATAGTTTTATTGTAATTGGTTAAGTAATTCCTATACTAAAATTTGGTTTAATAGAATAGTCATAATTTGTGTTTGTTTTGATTGGTTGTTAAAATTCAAATATATATGATAGAACCAATTTTTTTGTTAGGTGATTAGGTCTTATAGATAAATTTATAGTTAACTTTTTTCGTTAGCTCTTTTTGTATAGCGCTCATGTATATGAGTTGTTACTTTAATTATCGTTCTATTAATGAAATTATACTTTTGTGAACATTAGTAATTTTAATATTCATATGGTTTAAGTTGTCCCCATTGAACAAAATTTCTGACTCCACCCTTGAGTTAAGTTGATCGCCTTCTTCTCCACTCTCTCTCTTTCTCTCTTTCTTCTCTTACGTGGTATTACGCTATAAGAGGTAGAATTCCTTTCCTAACTAGGTTTATTTTCAATTTAGGGTTAAAATATGAAAATGGGTAAGTATTAGAGATATAATCTCACGTATGATACATACCTAGTATAGTTGAAATGTGTAAAATGAGTGTAAGAATGAGTTAAAACCATTTCTTGCATGAATTGAGTTTTGGTGAAATTGTTCATTAGAATTTTAAGATTAATGTATTGTTTTGGCGTGCTATATGTTTATATTTATGTCTTGAGAACTAGAACATCCAAAACAATTCCTTCTAGAACCACCTCAGCATGTAGAGTCAGTTCCTCCAGAATCATCTGTTGAAACTCAACTGAGAAGATCTACTAGAGAGCATTGACCTCCCGGATGGTATTCTACTGATGAATATGTATTGCTCACAGGTGGTGGAGAGCTTGAAGGTTTTGAAGAAGTTATGTCACACACTTAGAATGAATGACAGAAAGCCATGCAAAAGGAGATAAAATCCTTGCATGAGACCCTCACCTTATGAGTTTGTGAAATGATCTAAGGGTAAGAGAGTACTCAAGAATAAGTGGGTGTTTAAATTGAAGGTCGAACCAAATAGCTCACAGTCCAAGTACAAAGTAAGACTGGTTGTGAAAGTATTGTCAAAAAAAGGGTATTGACCCTAAGAAATCTACTTCAAGTTATTTGATTACTTATTCAGATGGAACAAGGTCATGCAGTCCAAGTTACATATAGGTGTTGCTTTATCTACCACAGAGGTTGATAAACTGTTGTCATTAAAGTCAACAAAAATCCAACCTTTCACTCAAGATCTAAGCATATTAACGAGAGATATCATTGAATTTGTTATGTATTGGAGATAAAATTATTGCAGCTTGAAAAGATTCATACTTATGAGAACGGTTGAGATATAATGACTAAATCACTGTCCAAAAAAACAACTCAATATTAATCAAAACAAAGCGGGTTTGGTTGAGCCCCCACATGTGTAGGAGGGGAATATTATTGGATTTGGGTTTGGGTTTGGGTTTGGCCCATGTGAACAACCCAAATCATAATAATAGATCCATGACCCATGGTTTATTTATTTGATGTTCTTTTACTTTTTAAATTAAATAAACACAAAAAAAGGGTGTTTTGGAAATAATGCGGTCAAAACTACTTGAATACACTTTGGGCTCGTTTGGTTGTTGTATTAAAACTAGATGGATTAGATAAAATTATACAATTTAATACAATACAGATAGATTAAAAACAAGATTAAATATAGTATTAGAATAATACATAATTTTATCTAGTGTTGGACAATACACAATATAAGCGTTGGATAGTAGTTATTTAATCCAATCAGTTGTTTGGTTAGAGAATTATTTCATTGTATTAATGTTGAATTAACAAAAATATCATCAATCAGTGTTTATTACATTGATGATAACTTGAATTTATCACTTGGGGGGTTATAATAGTAAATGCGTAGAATAATACGATTGAGTTGGATTATAATACCACCTCTTTTGATTGTATTAAAAAACCTCCATAATATATGTTTATTGTATAAAAAATATAAGATAAGTATATGTTTCTAAAATTAATACGGTATCAAATTTGTTTACCAAACAAGGTATTAGGCCTAATTAAATAAAAAATAGTACAATTAAATATTTAATTCCCTCATAATACGTCTACCAAACGAGCCTTTTGTATTCTATATTTTTTTTTTCAGTGAGAATACTTTGTATTCTATTGGGGTTTTTGCAATGCCAAATATCACCAGGAAAAGAAGACAACACTTAGCCGGATGTGTGAAAAAGAAGAAGCAAGAGGCGGCGCAAAAACAATAGGGTTTTTTAGCAACTCGAGAGAAGAAGTTAAAAGAGTTTTTCGCGTGGGATTTTCTAGCCAAAATAATACGGGCAAGCAATCAACGATCGATTTTGATGTAATTTTAGACGTTGCTTACAACAATGAAATTTTTATAATGATGAATTTATTTTGTTAAAAAAAATTAGATTGATATTTTTACAAGATTTATCGAGTTAAATCTTTTCTTGTTATTTTGTTGATGTCCATCTACGGGTGATAAATTATTAATACTTTGATAGTTTCTGAAAAAGATTGTTGTAACCTATTATTGAAATATAGTAAAAGGTTGAGATCAGTGTTTATGGAGGTACCCCAAATTTGAGAGAATCACGTAAATTTTGTGTCTTGATTATATGCTTTAATTATTTTGTTGATTGAATTTCGTACATTGCTAATTTAGTTTCCATAAAGAGGGGTAAAAAATTAATTCAGCTAATTTTGTGAGTTTACCCTATAAATAACTATCTTAAGTTGTAACAAAGATAAATAGTAAACCTAGGGATGACAGTGGACCGGATAAAAATGGATATTCGTCTAAACCCGTCCCGTTTAAATCGGGGATAGATCATACGTATTGGACGATGGATGTATACGGAGATACCTGTATAAATCCGTACAGAGATGAAGGTGGAGATGAACTGACACTTATCCCTGCCTCCGCCCCCACCCCCACTTTACCCATTACTATTATTATTATTATATATATTTATATATATATATATGTACACACACATGTTACTATGAATACAAATTTACATATTATTGAATGATTTTTTCTTTTGAAAATTATTTTATTTTTTTATTTTTCTTTCATGTTTTTTGCTTGTAAAAGTGTAGAATTTTGTATTTTTATAATTTTTTATGTTATATTATATTATGTTATATTAAGTTGTGTTGCACGATATTATGTTGGATTTACAATGAAAATAAACTTTTAATTATATTATGTTGTAAATGACAAACTTTTAATTTTTTTATGATATTTTATAATTATGTTGGATTATTTAGAATGTTATATTTTATTTAGAATATTAGATTATGTTGGTTTGGGCTTGAGCGGATAAGGTGGATGGGGGGTGGGGGTGGAGGTGAAGGCGGGGGACTAGGCAAGGTCTAGGGATGACAGTGCATCGGGGAAAAGTGGGTATTCATCCAAATCGGTCCTGTCTGGACCAGGGATGGAGTATGCGTATTGAACGATGGACGTATACGGGAATACCCGTATAAATTCGTACAGGGATGAAGGCGGGGATGGACTTACCCTTACTCTCGCCCCCACTATCCGTATATATATATATATATAAACGTTACATTTCTCTTTTTGTGATCCAATAACACTTTAAATAGAATACTATATTATTTTGACTTTTTAATTTT